CTGACTTGAGCTGTTTACCTATCTGATTTCAGCTCTATTTTTTATGCCAAGGTCAGCCACTTGTGGCCTCGCCACTGATAGTTCGCTGGGAGAATCACAATGAACCACTTATTGGAATACTTCCTAACTGTTGAAGCATGGCAATGGGAAAAAGCACAAGCTTTAAATATTTGTTTAAATAGTTGTTAATTCATTTTTTTTTTTTTACCTATTTCGTTCTCCTTATGGTACCTGGCTACCGTTGTATTTATACTGATAATTACCTCATCCGGCATTTGTACCTGTAGTACCAGGTGGGTGTCATGTATGTAGGTTATCTCCTTTATGAATCACATATTTGTACATTTCAATTTTCACTTTATTACACTTTACTGTTAGACTGTGATCAGAAAGCGTTATATTTATTGGGGTAGATACAATGGATGACAATTTAATGACAGTTTCCAAATTCCTTTTATAGTTTCATCAATATAAATCTATTTTACTGCTGTCTTAATGGACTTTATATTGACTTTGCTTGTTTTACTTACTAGTCTAAATCAGTAATAGGTAAGTGAACATGTTGAATGGGTAAGGTAATGTCACAGGTTATAGTAGACTACATTGATTCCCAGGTTATGGTAATGTCACAGGTTATAGCATACTACATTGATACCTAGGTTATGGTAATGTCACAGGTTATCGTAGACTACATTGATACCTAGGTTATAGTAATGACACAGGTTATAGTAGACTACATTGATTCCTAGGTTATAGTAATGTCACAGGTTATAGTAGACTACATTGATACAAAGGTTATGTTAATGTCACAGGTTATAGTAGACTACATTGATTCCTAGGTTATGGTAATGTCACAGGTTATAGCAGACTACATTGATACCTAGGTTATGGTAATGTCACAGGTTATAGCAGACTACATTGATTCCTAGGTTATGGTAATGTCACAGGTTATAGAAGACTACATTGATACCTAGGTTATGGTAATGTCACAGGTTATAGTAGACTACATTGATTCCAAGGTTATGGTAATGTCACAGGTTATAGCAGACTACATTGATTCCTAGGTTATGGTAATGTCACAGGTTATAGTAGACTGCATTGATTCCTAGGTTATGGTAATGTCACAGGTTATAGTAGACTGCATTGATTCCTAGGTTATGGTAATGTCACAGGTTATAGTAGACTACATTGATACCTAGGTTATAGTAATGTCACAGGTTATAGTAGACTACATTGATTCCTAGGTTATGCTAATGTCACAGGACAGGGTGGTCTCTTAGGACAGGGTGGTCTCTTAGCCCAGGGTGATCTCTTAGGACTGGGTGGTCTCTTCGGACAGGGTTGTCTCTTGAGACAGGGTGGTCTCTTAAGACAGGGTGGTCTCTTAGGACAGGGTTGTCTCTTAGCCCAGGGTAATATTTTAAGACAGGGTGATCTCTTTAGACAGGTTGATTTAATAGGACAGTTAGGTCTCAGGGCAGGTAATTTTTTGGGTTAGTTTGTCTCTTTAGGACCAAAGAACCTTAGGAAAGGTTGTCTCTCTGAACAGTCTCTAAAGGACAGTTTAACATTTCGGCAGTCCAACTCTCAGGACAAGTTGTGTTTTTGACAGAATGTAGCTCTCTAGATTGTCCCGTAAGACAGTGTTAGTTGCCATTATAAGTGTCTCCGGACAGGTGAGGTACTTAAGGAAGCCAAGTTAGGACAATGTATGAACCTGTGACATGATGAACTAAATGAGTTGTTTATCATTAATACATAAAGGTGAGGATTGAAATGTATATATACAACACATCACTTTCTCCAAAGGGCAGTCACATGTCTAAACCCAGAAAGATCACATACATGTACATGTGGGTACACATTGTTATTCTTTATCAGATATTTCTAGATGTGTTGCATGGAGACACAGATACTCTACCTAAATCACACCTATTTACACTACCTGTAAATAGAAACTGGACTTGAAACTCTATAGAGAAATGTGCATAAAAGCATAGCATTATGTCATTCGCAAGATATAAATGACACAACGATTTCGAGCATACCAGTTTTTACAAGGAAAAGTATTTAAAACAGACTATCCAATACTTCCCTATACCCAATTTTTTAAACTGAGTAACTGATATAAATAACTTGTTAAATATCTACTGAAGGGGTGATAGGTTTGTGCTGTAGTGTGTTTGTACAGCAGGACACCGCCCCCTCCGCTAACACTGGGGCGCTCTGTGCAACCCCTCATTTTTTTACAACTATCAGAGGATTCAATCAATGATCTAATCTATCCCAAGGACATGAAATGGTGAGATCCTACAACTATGGAGGTGGAAAAACTGTGACCTCAACCTAGCTCCCCGATAATGGCTCTATTTGATTTATATTTGGATTTCGCCACATCACCCAAGGAAGACCTATCTCAGGTAGATCTAATAAGGTGTTAGAATAATTACTGCACCAAGTCAACAAAATGATATGCACATATCTTTATCTACTAGAAATTAGGTTAGGATGACCCAGTTTTAAAATATCTGATCTGCCCAAGTAATGGAAAAACCAGAAAACATCCTACATTGGGATGAATTTAAATAAGTTCTTTATGACATTATAGTTTTGGGGAATAACATAGTTAATATCTTATGTCTAAAACAGCTCCATCTTCATAACAAAATAGAAAAAAAACCAGTATAATGAACACCGCAGTATTGTGAACATATCAGTATAATGAACACCGCAGTATTGTGAACACATCAGTATAATGAACACCGCAGTATTGTGAACACCACGGTATTGTGAACATATCAGTATAAAGAACCTCAGAATTGTGAACACATCAGTCTAATGAACACCACAGTATTGTGAACACATCAGTAAAATGAACACCACGGTATTGTGAACATATCAGTATAATGAACACCACAGTATTGTGAACACATCGGTAAAATGAACACCACGGTATTGTGAACACATCAGTATAATGAACACCGCAGTATTGTGAACACATCAGTATAATGAACACCAGAGTATTGTGAACACATCAGTATAATGAACACCAGAGTATTGTGAACACATCAGTATAATGAACACCGCAGTATTGTGAACACATCAGTATAATGAACACCACAGTATTGTGAACACATCAGTATAATGAACACCACAGTATCGTGAACACTTTAACAACATTCATTATTTGACTTTGAACTGAGGTACCCATGTAACCTACATGGTTAGTACATGTCTGCTATATGTGTGTGGAGTTCCCAGAAAGGGGAGTGCTGTCTCTATCTGTGTCAGGTTATATATAAACACACCTCCCACCTGTTGGTAGCAACATTTCTCAATAATGCCTTATCAGCTTAAAAAGGAAATCTGTCAATGGAAAATTTGTCAATGAACCAAAAGATTATACTCCCTTTTTTCATACAACTGATTTATTGCACCAGACAATGCAAGACACCAATGGACTTATTTGAATGTTTCTAAATTGATTTAAAATTCCTTTTTCCTGGATTGCATACAAAGTTAATAGAGCAATAGCTTGCGAGTGTATTATGTAATCCACACACACCTCCAGTGACGTGTCTACTCTCCTCAAAATGCTTTCATCTCCCAGAAACACTTACTCATTCATAATTTCAAAGGGAAAAAATGTGTAGATCTTCTAAATGTCATGGGAATTCTGCTCATATGCACAATTGCTATGACAACAAATGAACTATTTGTACCTGTAAATATTTATGAACATCAATTTATCATCTGACACTGAGATGGTTTTTGTGTGTTTGTGGTATAAAAGGCACATTCACTTTCATTTTGAACACATGGAGTGTTGTTATCAGTATGACACAGGCTAGGTTTATATAGGGAGTCAGGAGTACACCTCCTCTAGTCTAGGCCAAGGAAAGACAACTCCTACACAATACTGAGTAAATATGTCCTTAAATTTATTGCTGTGCAGTTTATAGAATTTGTTGTGTAGTTTTATCAATATGCAAATAAGGCAACAAGAGAAATACCTTTGTTCAATTGTGTCATTTCTTCTTATGATAACATTTCAGAACAAAATATGATAATTCAACTCATCCTTAGCGTTTCAGTTGTTCAGTGGTGAAGGGGAGGTAACTAATTTGACACAGATGGACTGATAAATAGGATATACCACATTTGTCAGTAACATAAACATTTGTACATGGAAAATATCATACATTGGAGATTTTTATTGGTTTAAATAGGTACCTATCGTTTTTGCATCATTGGTGTGTGATTGGTCATACCATACTTATAACTAAGCATATAATTTAACTAACAAATGTACAAAATTTTAAAAGTGAGCCTTGGTTCCCCACCCTTTCAAGCCTGCTTTTGGTACCATGTACATTAGTAATGCATGGACCATATACAATGAAACTGCCCTTTACAGTAAGGATAGGAGACATATGTTATGTTATGACACATGTCTAGTCATGATACACATATGTGCGACGTTTTAAAACAAAATGTTGTGTGGATCGGAACTCACAGTCTGAACTATCAATTTGACTTTTGACCCCTGCCCTTGCTGCAACCTGGAACTTTGAGGACATGGACCTGAGAGTGAGGGCAGACACATCGTCTAGTTATGAAACAAGAATCTATAAGATTTTGTACCAATCAGAAGATGAAATTCAGACCAAGGATTGACTCATGACCTTTTGCCACAACCTTGACCTTTGATTTACGGACTTGGGAGAGTTAGGAGACATCCTATTTAGTTATGACATGCAAATGTATGAAATTTGTTAAGGAAACAGTCAATGAGACCACTCTTTCAACTTGATAAAGATTTCTTTCACTGATGTCAACCTAAATTTCAGTCCTCATCCATTGCCCGACACACACCACTGCAGAAATAGCGTTCCATTGCCCGACACACACCACTGCTGAAATAACGTTCCATTGCCCGACACACACCACTGCTGAAATAACGCAACAACAATACGAAAATTAAATTTGTTTAAACTGACCTGGCATTGAGATGCGTTTGACTGTAATGTTGACATGTTCCCCGCCTTCAGTCACTATTTGTTGACCATCAATGAGGATCTGTGACCCATCCACGGTGAAGGAGGACGACGGGATCTGTATGGTGGCCTGACTTGTACCTCCCCCAGAGTTAGCAATGGCCAGAGCCTGTTCTATCATAAACACTTCACACTGTTGCTTCTGATGTTCCTGAAAGACAAAGTGGGCTGTCACAGTAGATCAATGCAAGTCATATCATCATTATAGATGAACATAAGGATAAGACCCTCAGGATAAGCTTCCTTGAATATGACTGTCATACACTATTGTACAAATAAATACACTTAAACAGTTCTTTTACATTCATCTATCATATATTATATGGATAAGTACCCTATGAGAAGTTTTCTTTGATTACATTGTCATACATTGTTTTAATTGGATAAGACCCTCAGGATAAGCTCCCTTGAATATGACTTGTATTAATAAACAGTATGCCATTTATTGTATGGATAAGCTTTGAAGAAGCTCCCTTTGATACTATTATTGTCATACATTGTTTTAAGAATAAGCACCCTAAGGAATCTGCCTCTGATACAACAAGTCTTCCTAAGATGTCCTAAGATGTACCAGTTTTCCAAGTTTGATGATCCTAGGTGAATGAAAGTGGGATATGCTCTGGACAAAGCCCAAGAGGGATGGACGAAGGGCATTACCATATTCCACATCTGCATTGTGGTGACGAGATTTTTTGTATGAATAAACACTCTGCTAAGTGCCATTAAATACGACTGTCATTTGGTTTCTTTTTTTTTTTTACAGAAAAGCACTGAAAGAAAGCTTCACAAGTTAAAATCAATTGTTAAACATAATATATAAATACCCTAAGGAAGCTCTCCGATTTAAAGGCTGATCCACATTTATCACAGACGAGGGTTTTGATGTCAGCGTGCTTGCGTTCAATATGTTTCCTGATGTCAGTGAAGGTGTAGCCATAGAAATCGCAGACACCACACTTGTAATCCCTTTGACCATTATGTCTGTAAATACAACCAAATTTCTTTAACCAAGGACATACCTATTTTGCATTTTATTACATCAAGTTTCATGCATGGAAATGAAATTGTAATACATCATGACAAGGTAAGCTTCGGGTGAAAGAAAAGGGTTTGCAGGTCATTTACAACTTCAATACAAATAATTCTGTAGTACAAACACTATGGACAAGACAACAGGATATTTAACCCAACTATTTGGAAACAAAATCATAAAGAGGTGACTTTTGACGAGCCTACTTTTGTTTGATCGTTTGACAGTCATTACTAGAACAATGACCTTTTGAGGTGCAGCTCTTTGTTCTTCATGTGCCTGAATGCCTTGTTACACACTTCACACAAATGTTTGGGCTCCTCGTGGATCAACAGGTGCTTGGAAATGTCAGATCTCTCGCAGCCCCTGAAACCAGTTAAAATAAAACATCAGAATGACAGGTATCAAAGACATCAGACTCACACAGACCTCTCAATACAGGAGTGACACACATCTAGAAAACTATCTGAGTGACACGGATGTGTACCTTCCCTGAAAACTACTCTGGAAGTCATGATTATACCAGCTCCTATGCAAAGCTGTATCATTTGTAGAGAAACTGTCTATAAATAGTAATAGTGACCTTAACTTTGATCTTGGAACCATGAAATCAGAACTGATCACAAATGTTTTCATACTCATCTTTCGTGTAAAGTATAATGAAAACATGTTTAGAAATGAAGTTCCTGGAGTGATGTCATTGAACTAGTTGACAAATTTCAATAAATCGTAAAGGTGACTTTGGCCTTGACCTAAGAACCTTGAACTTTGACTCATTTAAGGTATTCTTAAACTTAACGTTTGTATATCATTTGATTTAAACTTTTCAGAAATGAAGTTGCTATAGCAATGATACTCAAATGGGACAGGACAGGGATGGATAACATTCCATACATACAGGTGTTAGAAATCAATCATTAAATAGGTATATGGGATATGGACATTCTTCTACCATCAGGCATGAAATTCCGTGTCAGAGCCTTCTGTTGAAATTCACCAAATGCATTTTTTTTTAATAGAATTCTCAACTTATTGCAGCATATGATGGAAAAAATACAAATGGGAATAATCTATTTCTTAGTGTAGAATCTGCATAACAGACCTTGAAATCTGTAAGGTCATCAGTCATGCAATAAGAAAACAGACAATAGCAATGAAATTCCCTAACAGCCCTTACAGCAATACTGTCAAATAGTCATGCCTCACTCTGAATTTATCTATTGGTCAAAGCAGGAAATGCTGAAAGCATATGTCCAGTACCGAAATGAGTAAATCTTGAATGTCAAATTTGACATGCAAAGCTAGTAATATTGACCCCAGCATAGCAAGTCAACCAGGAAAATGGTCAAAATTCCAGTGAATGCAGACTTGCATACCTGATGTCAGAAATCATGAAATGTTTTGTACATTTTCTGTGTTGTAAATAGCATTTGAATTTGGATGGGCAGTGTCCTTGAACTCTGAGCAATCTCACAAGACCAATGGTCAGAATAATCTTTGGTCAAAATCTGGCATTTGCAGCTCTTCATCTACCTTCATGATCTGTTGGAATGTGAACTGATGGTCAAGAATCTCAAGGTCATTGATTAGAAATGTCCTGCAAGTATTTTAGCTTCACCCTATACATACGTCAACTCTCTCGGCAACTACAGGAGCTCAGCATCATAAACCATAGAATGCAGACCTGACAGAAAATGACTTGACTCACTGGTCAGTTCTAGCTCAACCAGCAGCTTAGCTGGAGTATCAATTGTGTGTAGTCACTTCATGATGCCAAGGCACCAGTGATCCATAGAAATTTATTTTTTTGTGTAAAATAACATAATAAGAAATGAATATTTGATAAAATTATTGTCAGCATGCTTGAGTTTAATGTAGCTATACCATCATCAGTCATTGCACATGGTGATTTTTTCATCAGACACATGGAATCAAAAGAGGACACAGCACTATGGTACATTTTTTTTTTTTTATAAATGTGTACATCAAATGGGTTCTCTTTTAACTTAATGGGTTCTCTTTTAACTTTGGGTTTCACAACAGTCAAATGTTGCAAATTGAAAGATATAGTCTTTTCTTACATTTTCAATCCACATAATTTAAGTTTCTTTTTTAATAACAAATTGTGTTTGTCACCAAATATTTTCTGTAGCTTGTAACATCAAGGAGGAGTGACACTACAACTACTTATTATGTGTTGTTCTCAAAATTCGTCGATACAAAGAACTTTTTCTACAATTTATAAATCAATAAGATATAAATTTAGCATTATACTTTTCCTGGCTAACAATTCATCAATTTGTGAGGAAAGAAAGATCAATTAAAACTCCTCTCTGCCGTTTAACACCAAACTTTTGATATTGGCAAAACTAAGTTTCCGTGTAACGAGAACAAAGTAAACATCTTAACATGTCCACCATAATAACGTGTGATGAAGCCGTTTTATTGTTGTATCGGATGTGGTTACCGGTACATACCACTGCTACCTTTGTCTCTGTCACATCTATAAATATATATAGCAGACATTTTGACCCGTAGCCAGGACAGCTGATTACCCAAGGTCTTTGTCCGTGACTTATGACACCCCCGTAACTTATGACACCCCGTGAAGGAACATATCAGCTGATCTGACGGTTCTATTATTGGGTAAAGCTGTTACTTCTATTATTGGGTCAAGCTGTTACGGTGACTAAGTAAAGCTATGTACCTGGTCGTTTTTCACCTTTGAACTTCAATAGTCATCTTATAAGAACTGTAAGCTTGGCATCAAGTGTCAAATCATTAATTAGTGAATCTGTAAGGTTTTTGGATTTTCTACCCGTTTTTTTTAATTCTGCATTTAATTTGGAATAATTTTAAATTTGTTTATCTACACAAAAGAAAACGAAAAAATTTCATAAAAGAATCTTCTATAGTTTTACCTGTACTGATAATTCTATTCCAGGTTACCTCAATTTATTTTGTTATTTTTAGTGATTTCTTCCAATGTAAGATAGAGGGCTGAAGTAGGAGTGAGTGAGTGGGGGTGTTAAGAGTCACTTTGTAACATCAAAGAAAGCACTGAACTTATAGTAACCAATCAAAAGATGATGATATTATCTATTTACTGTATTAATATCTTGATAATGAATGTTTTTATGTTCATAATGCCAAGCTAACAAAACCTGGTGAGTAAGGAGAGAAAGGCCAATCCCAGTGATGTCTTACCTACATCAGAGAAAGGCAAAAACACCTTGTACAGAGCAAGCAGACCGTTACATTGAACAGTGAACTTAGTTAATCAAGTACCAATTGGTGTAGCACCCGTCTATAAACCTCTAACACCAACAATTAGGCTCGGGTTGAATACACAACCTCCTTACAAAATCTTACTAGGTTTTACACTGATCTGGCGTTAATTGGTCGGACGATGTCATAAAAAAAGTTTGTACATAGATATTTCCAAGTGAAACAAACCGATAAAATCACAGAAAACCGTGAATTTGTGGATTTTTTCTGAATGTTCTAATCAGCCCAGCACTCTACTCCAATTATGTAATAGAGATAGCTGCCGGGGTTTCTAAGTCACCCTTTATACCACACAGTACTCCAGATAATAATTGTTAGGTTTGTATGTGGGTGCTTCTAGAACATTTATATTGGCCAATGAAAAATTGACCAATGTCATATATTAAGAAACAAGTTTTTATCTCAAAGCCTCTCCTAAGATTGGAAAGTTCAAAGCTCTACTATAACTAACTAATCTGGTGTTAACAGATTTTGCCAGTTGAAACTTTTTATTACTTTTGAAGTTAGAAATGAATTTGCCCACGCTGAAATTAGAAGGATCAGCATCGTTCACAAACATAGAAACAGCCAACAAATTCTTTATTCTGCAATTTTTTTTTTAATCAGATATTATGTAGAATCCTTAGTGAACTGCTGATTGACAAACTGAATCAGATGTTGCCCAACGTTAACAGTTTAGTGGCTAGATAAGTGTCGGGCTGCTGGCTCCAGTAAGGACTCACCAGCTGATTCTCTTCCATTTGTCTAATGGTCAACAGATTCCACCTACAAAGCTATACAGAATCCTTAAAAAGGATTCAAAGGAATAGTCACATCATAAACATAATTAGGACATTACATACTGGCTTTTTAATGCGGAGATGTAAAGGCATGGAAACCATGGAAAATCAAGAACATCAATATCATAATTCTCACAGAAACTGAATCTGGTAAGTGAAAAGCTACCAGCGTGACAGGATATTCTTAATTCGCCACACATATGTTGTTAAAACAGTAAACTGTACTAATTTAACCTGACCTTCAGATTGAGACGAAGCTGTTCACTTTTTGGCAAACACGACAGGACAATTTGTCTACAACTGCTTTTCTTCACACAAGTGGTTTTCAATCAATTTAAAACCCAGATAAACTTTTTCAAATCAGAAAATTCCACTCTTAAGAAAAATGAATTGCCAGGCAACACCGAAAATTCAATTCAAATTTAGTGAATGTGTTTTTTCACACTCGTACTGCTTAATAGTCTATACATAGTCGAGTAGCATTTTTTTATTAGACATTCCATTCAGTGAAAAACGTGAATGGATATTTTTCAGACATGATAAATCTTTTTACTTTAAATAACCTGATTTGAAGTGCCTTACCTATCAATTATTGAGGAGTATTGGGTTTAAGATTGCTAGCTAAAGTTAACAACAGGAAGTCATCCATATCTCATTTATTTGTATTTGTTCTTTTGAGGCCAAAAAGTGTATTAAATTGAGTCTGTCCCTGTGTTTTTTAATCCCTTGTATATTCACCTCAGTCTTAACTCTCAATACTTAGGATAGGTAGGCCTAAGAATTTTCTATCTATGAAAGGTGCTGCTGTTCAATTTTAAAACAAGGTCACCTCTGTAAAGGAAACATCTCTCTCTATATATAGGTCACCTGTAAATGGGACACATATGTATATATAGGTCACCTCTGTATGGGAAACCGACATATATATAGGTCACCTGTAAATGGGACACATATGTATATATAGGTCACCTCTGTATGGGAAACCTACATATATATAGGTCACCTGTATATGGGACACCTACATATATATAGGTCACCTCTGTATGGGACACTTACATATATATAGGTCACCCGTATATGGAACACCCACATATATATACAGGTCACTTGTATATGGGACACCTACATATATATATAGGTCACCTGTATATGGAACATTTACATATATATATAGGTCACTTGTATATGGGACACCTACATATATATATAGGTCATTTGTATATGGGACACCTACATATATATGTCACCTGTATATGGAACACCCACATATATATATAGGTCACTTGTATATGGGACACC